CCTCCTCATCGACAGGACTGCTGAGTGCGTTCGACTGAACCCAGGGACTCCAATATCTCTTAACTAAGGAATATTTCTTAAATCATATTAGGGATCCTACCATGATTCAAGGAATATTCCTTAATTGAGGGATGTTGCAGTCTCTGAGCTTGAGATTCTGGGTGGAGCCGGGCAGGATCGATTCGGCTTCAGGTTGAGGGTCATGTGATGCAATAGTCACGTTACAGCACACCACAGTACATTTTAGCATGTTCCAGTACATTGTTGTGTGCTATCGTATATAGCTCAGTTTCATGAATCTTAAAGGGTCTCTAGCTTAAGCGACTTACTGGTCCGCAAGCTCCGTTTGCGAGATGAGCCCTGAGACAGAGCACACTTCTGCCCTGGTTGGTGCTGGCGAGCCCGCAACTGCCACGCCTGCTCCGACACTTCGATAGTCCCGCGCAGCGGTGTTGCAGGACAACGGTCATGATAACGAAGGCCAACGAGGTTCTTGCCCTTCCATGCACAGGCGGTTTGTTTTCGGAGAGGGGAGGGGGGCCTAAGATCGGCATAAGTTGACGAGCCAGTCAGATCCGCTTTCGAGCCCTGGGCCCTCAAGCAGGCCGGGCAATAAATGGAACTCGTAAGCAATTACCGAAAGTCTTGTCATCCCAAGATTGCTGCCTTCTTTCCTACTTAGAAGTCGAGTTCGTGAAGTAGTAGAGGCAGCAACAAGAGTACTATGCATTGATCGAGCTTTCATGATTTGGGTGATCATGTAGTGATGGCTCAACGCGCGTCTGGGAGACTGCTGGCTCAAGCAGCATCCCTCGGCCAACTACACGTAGCTTTGAGACATGATTGCGCAGTGAGTTAGATCGTGTTAGATCACCAAGCCTGAACACCAACAGTCTAAACCCTAAGCCAAACACTCAAGCCCCCACCGTAGCCTTGCCTTGCGCAAAGAGATACATCACCCGTATGCTCTGTATTTGGGTGGGTTCGTGTTTCCGGTTCCGGGTTTAGGCCCCAGCCGTGTTTTCCTCATGGTCGTGGCCTCGCCAGATAAGGACCGGCTGTTGGGTGAGTTTGGGATGTACTGGGAGACGCCAATACCTGAATCCAGGGTCTTTGAGCAGAGACCACTGAGCTTATTGCTCATCTAGGTCTTTTGGAGCTTTAATGAGTTCGTCTTGGGGGAGCTGGGGTCGGGGGGAAGCGGCCTTGTAAGGATATGGAATTTCATGCTTGAGGTGTGCGTAAATATTAACGTCGATGTTGGGAGGTGTTGGCTTTAAGCAACGAAACCTGTCAGCCAGGCTTGGGGTAAAGTAGTTGTTGGGAGGTGTTGGCTGTAAGCAACGAAAACCTGTCAGCCAGGATTGGGGTAAAGTCGTCGTTGGGAAGTGTTGGCTTTAAGCAACGAAGCTTGTCAGCCAGGATTGGGGCGAAGTCGCTGTTGGGGAGGTGCTGGCTTTGGCAACGAAACCTGTCAGCCCAGGATTGGGGTAAAATCGTTGATGGGAAGTGTTGTTGGCTTTAAGATGTTGGCTTTAAGCAACGAAACCTGTCAGCCAGGCTTGGGGTAAAGTCGTTGTTGGGAGGTCTTTCTGGCTGTAAGCAACGAAACCTGTCAGCGAGGAGGTGGGTAAAGTCGTCGTTGGGAGGTGCTGGCTGTAAGCAACGAATGAAACATGTCAGCCAGCATTAGGGTAAAGTCGTTGTTGGGAGGTGCTGGCCTTAAGCGACGAAACCTTTCAGCCAGAATTGAGGTAACGTCGTTGTTGGGAGGTGTTGGCTGTAAGCAGCGAAACCTGTCAACGAGGATTGGGGTAACGTCGTTGTTGGGAGGTGCTGGCTTTAAGCAACGAAAACTGTCAGCCAGGATTGGGGTAAAGTCGTTGTTTCAGCCAGGATTGGGGTAAAGTCGTTGTTGGGAGATGTTGGCTTCAAGCAACGAAACCTGTCAGCCAGGATTGAGAAGTCGCCGGCCACCCCAAAACTCTACATTCTAATTTCCTAAACTCTCACTTCGGCATTTTTCCGCAGGCTGATGCAAGACCGATCGACCAGGACGCCATCACCGCCCCTCGGTTCCGAAAGTGAGGGGGTTTCGGGTTTTGGGATGCCTAGCGTGTTGGAGTACCCTCGACCCTCAAGCCTGATGCAAACCCTTGTACCCAAAAATCGTCTCTAAGTCCCACAGCCACGACACAAGTACTATAGTGCCCTTATAGTATCCCTTATATAGACCTCTTTAAAGGGACCTCATTCTGATTATTAAGGCCCCTAGATGCAGCTCCTCCGAGGCAGCCCTCCAAGCGGCGAGCCTCGCTGGGCAGCTCCGGCGTAGTTGGAATCGTAGCCGTTGAGGGTTTGGAGGTTCAAGGGTTTAGGGGTTTAGGGGTTTAGGGGTTTAGGGGTTTAGGGTTTAGGAGTGTAGGGTTTAGGGGTTTAGGGTTGCAGGGGTTAGGGCTTAGGGTTCAGGGTGCTGTCCCATGTTGTTGATTGTTTACGTGCCCTCTTGCTCGCTCTCTATCATGAATATATTCAGTTTCTTTCGTCTTTGTTTTGCCTGTGTATAAATGTACGTGTGCATCGGGCTCGGGTGTGGGATTGTGGGCTTCGACTGGACAGTGGTTCAGGGGTCAGGAGCCCCCGAAGCAGATTGCGTTCTGAACTCTTGGCCTCGGGCCGGGGTAGCAGGGGAGGGGCCAGTTCCCGGGAGCTCCAGGGTTTCGGTCTAGCTTTGGTCACGGCAGCCTCGGGCATCGGCGTCTGAGGTGCGTATCCTTATGTGGTGACATGGAAGCCAGCCAGTACAACCACGAAGTATAGCATGCTAAGCACTGCAGAGAAGACACCCTGATATGTAATCCAAGAGCTACACGCTAGCATCCCTTGGCAATGGAGTGTTGCCGTTCAGTTGACCTCTAAAAAGCATTCTCTGAGCTCTGAGCCTGAACTCTAACGGTACGCTTTCACCTGAATCTCTCGCCAAGGGCCTAAACCGTAAGCTGAAGACAACACTCCGAACCATGAAACGGAGTCACCAGGCACTTCCCCTCTGTTCTTGACTCCGGCTGCAAGGGAGGTGCAGGTGGCATGGTCCAAATTTCAAAAGGAATGGGTTGAGGTTTCCATGTTGACGGTTCATGCCTTCGAATTCAGAGCTTAGGGGCTTGGCGGTGACGGCTTGGCGGTTATGATCTTGGAGAAGTATTCAGAAGAGCAAGCAAAGCCCGGCGTGTCCAGGTACTGTTGCCTGGACTGCCAGCACGGATTCATTTTCACGGCCACTGGTAGCCGGTATCCAGACCTTCCAAAATCCCCTAGTTAAAGGATATTCCTTAGATTTTAACAGGATCCCTAAAATGAAACAAGATATATTCGTCAATTAAGGGATTTTGGAGGGTCTGGGTACCGTGGAACTTAGCAGTGCCAACGCCTGGGCTCAGGTGTTTACCGAGATCTTGAGGTTTCAAGCACTCGAATGATTTTCCTGTAGAGCTCTGCGAAGTGCGTGGTCCTATGTGAGAGTGCTCGGGCCATGTCAGGACAGACTGTACTGCTCTCTGCTGATACCATTCAATCCACTCACAATCCCTAAACCCTAAACCCCAAACCCTAACCCCCAAAAAAACCCTAAAGCCTAAAGCCTGAACCCAAACCCAAAACCCAAATCAATGCCCCCAGCTATTCGACTCCGAGACCCCAAAACCCAACACCCGAAGCCTTACACCCGGGCCCCAACCCCTCCTCTAGACCCTACAAAGCTTCTACACCCCTTGACCCCAAACCCTTAATTTCCCTTGACCCTAAACCTTCTCGCCGAAGCTCTAGACCCTACGCCCAAATCCTAAACCCTTATAGAACCCTTAGAGATCCCCTTACAGAAGCCTTACATAGCCCCTTATGTGGAGCCTTGTACCCTAAAGCCCAAATGCCGAAGCCTGGCCCAGACCCGGGTCCCCTCTGGCGCAAGCCCCTGGGGCTTCTCTACGACCTGGATGTCTGGGACACCCGGGGAGGGGGGTTTAGGGTTTAGGGCTTTAGGCTTTAGGCTTTAGGGGTTTAGGGTTTAGAATGGCTGAGGGCATTGATTTGGGTGTTGGGTTTGGGTTTAGTGGGTTTAGGAATTGGGTTTGGGGTTTAGAGTTTAGGGGTTTAGGGTTTAGAGTTTAGGGGTTTAAGGTTTAGGGTTTAGGGCAGGAGCGATTGAAGCGTAGGATCTTGAGCCCTGAGGGTCTAGGGCCTTTAGGGGATGAAGCCCTAAGGTTCTAGATCTTTTTGGGTTTACATAGGGGTTTAGGGTTTAGAGCCCTCAACCCTAAACCCTAAACCCATAATTCAGGGTCGAGAGAGGTTCTCATGTACTCGGAGGCTTAACAGAGCCCTTAAGTGCTTGGCAGGACTCCGCTCTGGAGACCATTGCGCAGGAGTTCGGACCTGGCTCCTGGGCATCACGGGTTGAATGGGTGAAATATGGGGACTTTAATAATTACCTATATTATATTGTGGGGGCTCCTTACTATAATTATAGTATCATGGCACCCAAAGCCCTATTCTAATCATTAAGGCCTAAGAAGGAGGGTTCAGGGTTGAGGGCCTTAGGGATTAGGACCTTTAGGACCTGTAGCAGTTTGGAACGGTTTAGGGTTTAGGGGTTTAGAGGTTTAAGGGGTTGAGGCGAACGCTTGCTAGTAAGCTGTCCGACGGTGCCGTGAGACATCCGGGTTTGGGGTTTGGGACCTTAGGGTTCAGGGTTTTGAGGTTTAGGGTTTTGAAGAATAGTATGCCGTGTTGTCCCAGCATAGTTGTACTCGAGTATATACCAAAATCCGATTCCAAGAATCAAGGCCCTTGCATGACTTCGCAGCAGGGATTAAAGAAGGGCTTGTGGGTTCTAGCAGATGCTGGAGAGGGCGGCCGATCTTCCCCAGTGACTTGGTTGTTGTGGAGAGAGCACGAAAGATGTTAAAGTTTTGCAGGCTTCTGTCTAAGCCCAGGAGGCAGGCATGGTTGTCACGGCCACCGGTGCGCGAATGAAATCCGAAAGTCGGAACATTTAGATCGCAAATCTTTAATCCGAGCAATCCTGATAGCAAGCCCTAAACCCTTAGCCCAACCCTAAACCCTACACCCTAAACCCTAAACCCTAACACCCTGCGTTCCGAGTCCCTCCGAGGTTGCAGGCACACGCTCGCGGTGAAGGGCACGGCTGTTGGGCCGATGCTGAGGCTCCGGTTCGCAACCCTTCTGTACTTTGCTTTGGTTAGTATGGAATGGAAGAATGGTGGTAATAGTAGATATACTTGTACCCCATTCCTCCATTACCTGCTAACCAAAGGTAAGTGTATCCTTCTGTGTTTTGTTTTTTTTGGAGGGGGGCAGGTGGTTTCAAGAGGTTTGCAAGGGTTCTGCAAGGCCTGTCGCGGGGGCCTAGCATTTGAGAAGCCCTTTGGGGGAAGTTGGGGCGAAACGTTTTGGGGCGTAGGGTCTAAGGTTTATTTGGACCTGTGTTCTAGCGTAGGGTAATTGGCTTTGCCTAGGGCCTACTTAGAGGATCATGGGACTTAGTAAGTAGGGTTATAAGTACCTTATTTATAAGTAGATATACCTATAGTTACCTTACTTATAACCCTACTTACTAAGTCCCATGATCCCCTAAGTAGGGTGAGCGAAGTTTGAAGGTTTCAGGTCCAGTTGCTTTATGCTCAAGCCAGACCCTAGACCTTCAAACCCAGAACTTTTAAGTCTGCAGGCCGAAACCGTAAGCCCCAAAACCCTAAAGCCCCAATCCTATCAAACAAAGCCGCGCAAAAGCCAACATCAGCAAAAACTGCCCTAAATCCGAAACCCTGAACCCTAACCCCCAAACCCTGAACCCTAAACTCGACAGTTCTCAATCAGGATTGTCCTATTTTCTAGTGTAAGCTCAATCCGAGCAGTACCGACGGCCTGCAGGAGTCAAAGGAGCGGTGCATTACACTTTAAAGAAACCCGAACCCTGAACCCTGAAACCCCAAACCCTGGAACCCCAAACCCCAAACCCTGAACCCTAAAGCCCCTTTGCCTAAAACCCTCAGACCCTGCCCTCTGGGAGTGTAGCTGCGAAGGCGCGCAGTGGAGAAGGGCTTCGGCTTGGAGTGCGCAAGTCTCGGAGAGGCTCGGGGTGTCGGTTGGTTTAGGGGATTTCTGCAGGGCTTCAAGAAGAGGCTTTCAACCCGCAGCCCCTTCCTAAACCCTTAAACCCGAACCTTTCATCCTGATCCCCGAAGCCCTGGACCGTTTAAAGTTCAATCCTGAAACCCTTAAACCCTAAACCCTCAACCCTAACAAAAAAGCCCTAAACCCTAAACCCTAACAAAAAAACCCTAAACCCTAACAAAAAAACCCTAAACCCTAAACCCTAACAAAAAAACCCTAAACCCTAACAGAAAACCCTAAACCCTGAACCCAAAGCCCGAACCCTAAAATGCCGCGAGCAGGCCCTCCACGCGCAAGCCGTGGGCTGCCCGCCTCAGCATATTGCGCCCAGGCTGGAATGGGGGTCCTTAAACCCTACCTTAACCTACCGAAACCTACTTTTTTGTAGGGTCCCTATAAAGTCCATATTAGGGTTTATAATAAGAACCTACTAAAAAGTAGGGTTTGGTAGTTCAAGGTAACCCTGCATCCTAATTTTCAACGGAGAACAGAGTGACAAAAGTAATCCTTGCCTTGTCACGTTTGGGTCGCGGAAGAAGGATTGTCAGTACTGCTTTTTGCTTGCTGTTACTGTCAGTGCGTTGCGTATGTCAATTTCGGTTGCGACGGATTTAGAATGTCCAGAGACTCCCAAAAAAATCCTGGGCAAACATCCCTTAAATTAAGCTCCAACATGCGTCTTGCATATGTTAAACACAAGGCACCTCGGAGTGTTTGATCACAAATGGCATGAGTCTGAATTAGCAGATTTCTTTTGCTGAATTTGTTGTGCTGTTTTCGGATTTGTGGATTCCAGTCTGAACTCTCGGAGATTTTGAGACACACAGGGGTGCGCCTTGATCTCAAGCCTGCTTTTCCGGCTCTGGTAGAAGGGTTGTCTACTGGTTTGAAGTTGTAAGGGTCTTTGATTTATTCAGAACTCAGGGTGTAGGGTTGAGGAGAGGGTTGTGGTGGACGGTTTCTTTTCATAGTGGGAAGTCGCATGCATCTGAGGTCTTTGACTCACCCTGCAAGACGCGCAGCGAGCCCGAGCCACGGACAAGTTTTCGATTCCGTGGTCGGAGCTGCTCTGAGTCCTGCGTTACTTTCCCCTCTATATGGGGGTTTCCGAAAATAGGGGACCCTAATATAGTACCCGAAATAGTAGGATCCTTTTTATAAGAAACCCCAAACAAGGTACCCCTAATTTGAAACGCTGCGCGTCGTCCGCCTCGGCCCGGCTGTACGCGCATGCGGCGAGTGGCTACTATCTGCAGCAAGCTCTTGTAGGAAAAAAGTAACAGTTGGAATCGCACTTATAGTAAAAGTAATGTTCATAGCAACACGAAGCAGGATGATTGTGAGTAGTATTAGTAGTGGCAGTATCAGTACGAATTTTGGTGTCAGAAAGCTCGCGCCTGTCAGCGAGGGGGGGAGGGGCGGGAGGGTGGGGGAGGAGGGGAGGCGGGGGGGCAGGGCGGGGGAGGGGGGCGTCCTGCTTTCGGGTGCAGGTGTTGTCTGGGCTTTGAAAGTTTTTCAGGCTGGGGTTAGGGTGTAGGGTTAGGAATTCAGGTTTGAAACTCCCTTGCCAAGATCTACCTTGGAGCTCAGTGACACGTTTCCATTTTTTAGGGGGGGGGGGGGGGCAATGGCCCCGATGGATTAAGAGGTGGGGAATAGAGGGAATCCGAATAAGGAACCTCTGACCGCTTCGGCCAGGGCCGAGGCGAATTTTGCGGAAACCCCCATATGAGCAGTTGGGAAAATCGAAACTCCAGCCCCGACCCCTAAACTCGGACTCCAGGTCCTGCAGCATCACCCAAAAAGATCCCCAAGCCCCCCACCCCCACCTGAAACGGATGACTTGGAGCAAACAGCTCCGACACGATTCCTCCGAAACCTTTGAAGTAGCGCTGTTATCATGGGACTATTGGTGGTATGTGAGCAGGAGTCATCAAAAAACATTGTGAGACTACTGTACGAAACTATGTAGACATCTACGAGAACTTCTGTTGCGATCTCGCTTGAATCTGGTAAAAAGGCACGATCGGCGATTCTGCCGTAATACAGTTGCAGCCTACGTTTCGGGCGTTGGTGTTTTGGTTCAGGTTTCGGTTTCAGAAACCCTAAGCCCTGAGGTTCAGAATTCATGAGTTCAGCCTCTCGTCGTTCCGAGGCTAGCGTATGCGCTGAAGCAAGGCAGGCGGGAAGGGGCGAGTGCAGGTGAGGTCTAGCGGCTCTGTGCAATGATGTTTAAGACTACGGGAAACATGACCACTACATACCTTCATTATCCGTACTTACCATTAAAGTTTATGTAAAATCCCAAGATCCTCAAAGTAGAGTGCTCTCGTTCAGCATCTTTCGCGGCACTGCACTTTTGAGTGCCTGTCTTAGGCAGTCTGCTGTTGCACCAAGCTCCAGAGCTTCGTTATCGAACTGCCACCCGATGCCTCCATGTTTCAAATCTTCATCACCCGGGGTCTCGGTATGAGCGGTCTGGGGTACAGGGTTTCGGCTTCTTCGGATCTGAGGGTTTTTGAGCTCAGGGGTAGGGTGTGCGGCCTGAGCTGGAGAGCCTTCGAGCCTGGGAGCCGAAAGCCTATAAGGTAAAAGCCAGAAAGTAGGAATATGATTATCCTAACCCTTCTATGGTAAATTATAGGGTATCCTACCAAGAAACCATATTCCAACTCTCTTGAGTTCCCTGTACTGCAGTAAGCCTGAATGAGTATCAATTGCCTAGGGGTCTTGATGCAAGCTTAGAGTAGAATATGCAGGAGCATCCTGAAGGTACAAGTCTGTCCTTCTAGACAAGAAGACGGCAGAGCTAGCAGTAAGAAGAACAAGAACAGAAAGAAGATACAATGGCAATGACTCATCGTAGCAAGCTTTTAAGGGTGGCAGATTTGTATCACAGTCAGGAACGAATATCAGACCATTGCCAATACCAAGAGCAACCATAAGGAGCAAAGTGGTAACTACAAGCACAGTACTGAGACGGGCCGTCATGTTAGTAAACCCTGAGGCTCCAAGTACCTAATAATCATATACTTTCCCAAACAGTAACCTACATAACTACTATCCGAAACCTAAGTACCTAATTATCGGGTCCTTTGGACCCTTAGGGAAACTTTTCGTGCGAAGCATGATACAGCCCGTCCAGGGCTGCACCTGAACGTCGACAGCCTGGAGGACTTCTCCAGGGGCCTTTTGGTTGATCTAGGGCCTAAACTAGGTTGTGCTTAAGTCTGATGTTGATCCAAAGCGGTTGAGTCTCGGATTTAAGTATAGGCGCTCCAATGACACGAACTGCTGGTATTTTAGGCATCATGCTAGCTCTTACATTTATATATGTGTTTACTGTAGGGTGTAGTGTAGCCAGCGCCTTGCTCAAATGACTTGGGCCTCTACGTTGGATTGTTGCTCGCATTTGGGGGGACGGGGTCTGTGGGCACTGGGGTCTTTGGAGGCCGGTGTCCAGTCGCTAGCCATCAAATGATAGGGGCTGTATCGTTTCTTGCTCCGATACCCGCTGTGGGTCTCCAAGGGGTTGCTTTCTCATGATATACAGAAGTTTTTCTTGTCTTTTTTGGTGCCAAGAAGGGCAAGAGTCGCGCCATAATATCCAACCAAGAACGTTGAAAGCTTCTAACTATCCTACACCCAAAATGCCCAAGAAAGCTCCCGGGCTGCAGCAGGAGCTGGCGCGGTTGGCCCAGATTCGTGAATCCCTGGCAGCGGAGACACCAGGAGGCTTCCTGCTGCAGGATTTCGGGTTCGGTTGTATTGTTTTCTTACCTTTGGTTAGGAGGGAATGGAAGAATGGTAGTAATAGTAGTCATAATTGTACCCTATTCCTCCATTCCCTACTAACCAAAGGTATGGTTTTAGTTTGAGGACCATGGTTTGGGGTTTAGGGTTCAGGCCTCCCTGAAGCCGCGCAGGTTCACGTACCTGAACCCAACAACATGGATTACAACACCCGCAAACACCTGCCATGCAAAACACACCCAAGGTCTTCACGACTGGTCCGACCTCTCAGCCTTAGTTTCAGACCCATGCATGAAAAATTCCTCGAAACCTAAAGCTTGTGGGTCCTCTTTTGGAAGGTCTCAAGAAGGGCACTGTTGGCTTGCGGCTGAATCCGCTATGCGGTGCCAGGGGCCCGGACGGCATGCCCGGATTTTCCAATATTTAGTGTCTGAGGAGGGAACGCCCGCACCCGAATGGTCCAGGATTGCTACGGGGCATCAGCTGAAGCCCTGAAGCGCAAACCCTACCTCCCCCGCCGCCTCTAGCTCTGAACTCTAGACTTACTACTACGGCCCTTGAAAAGAGAAGAGGTTTATGAGTCATGGGTCTACCCCCGCCAACCCTGGGAGGTTTGAGGAATCCTAAACCCCCAAACCCCCTAACCTGAACCCTAGCACCTAGGACCTGGAGCCGAAATCCCTAAGCCCAAACACCCCCGAAGCCCTAAACCTGAATTCCCGAAGCCCTGGACCCCCCAAACCCAAAACCCTTCAGGGTTTAGAAGTTTAGGGTTTAGGGTTTAGGGTGCCCTGCAGAAATCCCAGCTTCACGATTTCGCCGGAGGCCGGCGAAATCGCCGATCTGTCGGTCTCCGTGTCGGACTCGAAGATCCCTGGCTGCTTTAGGGTGATACTTAGACCTACAAGTAAAAACAAGTAAATACATAATTTTGTATGTGTTATATACACATATATACACATGTATACATGTGGTTTAACTTTCTTACATTTGGGGGGAAGGGGGGTTGGGGATCTAGGACTTTGTTGTTATCTCGTGGTGGTTTGGGGTTTGATGTTTAGCAAATGTTGAAATTGAGTCTGCGCACCACAGAGTTCGGGGTATGTTGGCGTGAAGTTGAGGGCTTCAGGGGTTTAGTACTGGGGGTTTTGAGAGTGTTTTGGTTATAGGCTTGTGGGGTCAGGAGGTTTACAGGGTTTAGGGCTTAAGGTTCAGCGTTGCGGTTTGGGAGACGGGCAAACCGACAGTAACCCACGGCCTGACACGCTTCTGTGTAACTTCTACCTGAGCTAACTTCGGAGCAGTGGAGAAGCAGTAGAGGAGGATGCCGGGTTATATCAGGTCAGGGCTGAGCAGCCTGAAAACACAGCTAGTCGTTTGAATCCATTCGAGAAGACTTAGGTGTTATGTAGGACTATTTTTTGTCTTCCCTGGGCCCTAAACCCTAAACCTCAGCCTGCAAGCCACATTTTGCGAGCAGTTTGGTTTGCAGCTGTCTGAGGTTCTAAGAGGTACAGGTAGGGTTCATGTTTTACGACTCCTGTACAGCCCGAAGCATTCCGACAAAAGCCCTGTGAAATCTTGTATACAGCCTTGCTGCCTTCTCGAAAGCTGAACCTGATATCTTAGACCCTTCGCCCAAAGCTACATCCCGGAATGGTCGGTGGGAGCAGAAGAAGTTTTGCAACGAGGTTTGGTGTTGCCGGTAGCGAGGAAGCCGACATTCTGGCAGCCTTCAAGGCAGAACGATTTCGGGATTTGCAAGGCTTGCTTGGAACAGAGGTGGTCTGTGCAAGCACGCACGACTTCTGCTGCTTCTGCGATAAAGCTTCTGTTGTGATTATTATAGGGGCCTGAATGATTACCTATACTATTCTGGGGGTTCCCTATTATGACTTCAGTACAATGGGCTCCAATAAATGGGCAAAGTACGGTATCGAGCAGACTTGAATCAGCAAACGGGCATTGTTGAATGCCATTGTTCCATGTTCGGGGTCCTGTGTCATTGATGTGCCTGATCTCGCAGGCACACCCGTGGCTATGTGGTCTACACGTGCACGTGGGCTGCTCGAGAAAGCACGTTCTTCATTTGGGACCCCTCGGACCCCAAACGCTATGGCGCCTGTCCGTCTGAGATTTGAGAGGTTTGCTATTGTTTAACTTGTTGGGGTTCAGGTTTCATTCCGGGAGTGGGGGCTGTCCAACACTACGATAATCTAGAAGTTCGCAGCCGGAGGCACCTCCTCTTCTCATGGATGTTGTTGCCATGTGGAGCAGCACTACTGCTGCTGCTCTAAATTTTCCCATTGCGAGTATTGCTTTCACTACTATGCTGTTGCTTTTTTGAGTAGTAACTGCTGCAATGGGAGCAGGATCAGTAGTACATGATCCTAAGCTATCGGCGTCAAAGACTGCTGGCACTCTTCTTGCCCTGCTGGTTGTGCCATCGGATGCCCTACCTTTCTGACTATTACGACAGCGGTTGCGCAGTTTCACGTTTTCGATTCGGGCTCTCATGTCTTGGCCCCGTAAGCCCTGTGTGGACCCAAAGTCCGTAAACCCAAAGGCAGAAACTCAAAGCCTTAAAGCTGAACAGTGACTCCTGGACATAGAGAATCCTGAACCCCTAATAAGGACCCCTTGGTATATACTCTTAATATAGCCATCATATACCCATCATATAGCCCATTATGGGGCCATGAAAGCCCGAAGGTCTGGGGCTTCGATTGTCTGCTTCAGGCCCCTGAGATCTGGGAAGAGGAGCTCTGTACTATGAATCCCCACAGCCATTCAAGCGCAATGAATATTCTAGAGGCCTTCATAACTATCAACATGATTCTTGAGGGTTCAGAATAACCCTCATCGTAAACCATCGAAGGAACCCTATAACTAAGCACTAAACCCTAAACCGGGAACCCTATCAAGCCAAACACGCACTCCAAGTGAACGCCCGCAGAAGACTTGCCGAGGTGGGCTCCGGAGCGATGGGCTTGCCCGTGCTCGTGGAAGGCCAGCTTTTCCCAAACGCAAGTTTACAGGAAAAAGGGGGCCTTAATAATTACCTAGATTATTTTGGGGGATCCTCATTATAAATATAGTATAATGGGCCCCAAAACCCTATTAATTCTAAGGCCCCTATATGCAAAGGGGAGCGCCTGACTCGCAAACACCCTCTGAAACCAGCCGGGGTACAAATGCTCAGGATTTGGGGTTTTGTTGCTAGCGTTCTAAACGGTTTTTAGCCAGACGCAGCCATACAGGCCTGCAGTAGAAGCCACCCGACAAGAAGGGAAATCCTAAACCTGGGTTAGGAGCGTTTCGGGAAGCGCTGTCAAGGCGTGAAAGCTTGCTGTGACCTCGCTGCCCGGATCAACTTGCACGTGGGGCGACGGCAGGCACCTCAACCCAAAGCCATGCAGGTGTTTTCGTTCCCTGAAAGTACCACACTTTTCGCGTTCGTGGTCGCGGATGAGGTTATATCGAATGTCATGCGGTTGACGAGATGGGTTCTGTGGGATATTTGCTCGGCAGGATCTTTCCGAATCTTTCAATTGAAGCGAGACCTTCTGTTCTCGTACGGTGGGGAATTTTGGGGCCTTGCAAGGGCTTTGTCGGCTTTCTGCAGGTTTCATCGTGTTTTTAGGTGCTCTTTACGGTTTTCGGATGCTGCATAAGGGGGGCGTAAGGCGGAGTGTTACCTTCTCGCCTTTTCTCCTCTGGTTGCGCGGACGGGTTCCCCAATTGCTAACCAGCCCGATGCTGAGATTGCTCAAGCCCGAATGTTCCTTGGACGAAACTGTATGGCGCTCATGGAATGTTGTGAACATTCTGGTTAAGGTACTTCCTTGGCTTCCGAAGTTTTCGTTTGGGTGCAGGGTTTCGGGAGGTTTAGTGTTTAGGACGGTTTGACCCCCCACAATTGCCATGAAAGCCCTCTTGCAGTGAGAAGACCTTACCAGTCTTGCCATTGTTCTGGGGATTGTTGTTAGTTAGTGATTGGGGTGATTGTCCTAGTCCCCACAGACTCCGAAACCGCTTAAGCAGGCTATCTACCTGCAGTCAGCGAGGGAACCTGAATACTGTAGAAAAAATCAATGTCTTCCTTAATTCAAGGCCTTCATATGGCAACAGGCCTACATAAACCCTTGCTGTTGTACTTCTCTGGCGAGGTCACGGTGATGGACATCGGCGGAGGCCGGGTTACGTCCCTTGTTTAGCAATGAAGGGGCCAAGTACTCGGGAGAGGCAGGCCGGCAGCATTCCTCTGAAGGATAGTATCTAGAGGGTTATTCTACTATATTATTATATTATTATATGATTATATGATTATATGATTATATGATTATATGATTATATGATTATATGATTATATGATTATATGATTATATGATTATATGATTATATGATTATATGATTATATGATTATATGATTATATGATTATATGATTATATGATTATATTATTATATTATTATATTATTATATTATTATATTATTATATTATTATATTATTATATTATTATATTATTATGTTATTATGTTATTATATTATTATATTATTATATTCAAAAGTTCGGTTCGCACTATTGTTTACATTCACGAGGATAAACATGTTAAGCTTACTTACTCAAGGTCTTTGGCCAGCATCAAGCTGATACCATCAGCAGTCATGTTACGGATGGCAGCAAAAAGTCCAGAACCGCTAGCCCACACACCCGATGCCGAATACTCGTTGAGCCTGCACCCTAAACCATCCAAGCCTTGATAAAAGCCTGCTCTGCAAACAGTCCAAGCCACCAAGCTATCTGCACCCGAAACTTCAATGACCCGCTGTGTCGCTGTGCTGCTGGTGGTCGTGGCAGATGTCGTCATGGCGGGTGTCATCATAGCTGGAGGGGTGGGGTGGGGTAGCGGGGGCAAAGACAGTGTCCAGCGATGCCAATATCGCCGTATTGAGGAAATATCGCTTTATTTAGGAAGTGTCCTCAAACCCTCAAACAAGAAGCAATAATTCAAGGGGTATTCATTATGTGGTGGTTTTGGAGTCCTTCGGTGTGCGTGCAAGAGTTTTGCTGCAGCTGTGGCAGGTCTTCACCCGGACTACAGGCGCTCTCCTCCCCCTCTCTCTCCCTCTCCCTCTCCCTCTCTCTCTCCCTCTCTCTCTCTCTCTCTCTCTCTCTCTCTCGGTTTTGGAATTGGAGCCTTCAGGGGTTTGGAGTTTCCGGGGTTAGGGTCGAAGGACAGGATCTAGAGTCTAAGCCAAGCAGCAAAACCTATGCTTCCATTCATCGTGCTGTAAAGTATAGGGATGTGCAGCTGCCCCTGGCCCTGCACCGGATGCATCGTCGCTGCTGGTGCATTTTACATCTCCCCGTGTTCGCAGCACGGCCAGTTGAGCTGCAGTGATCTGGTTGAGAGCCGGCATATAATAAAATGATGTGCAGATAGGTGGACAGTACACCAAGTGCTTGGAGTTCTTTCTTGAACCGGCTCCCGGCGAAGCCTGCATTCGATTGGCCTGCTTCCTTTTCAGACCGCGCCGTCTTCGAAGGGATATACCTGGATTCGCGTGAAGGACCTGAGCTCCAGTCCCTAAACTCCTGACTCCTAAACCCGCAGCCCAGAGCCTCACAATCTCACACCCAAGCTCCCGGATCCCATGACTGAGCAGGTCTGACACCCGTCCGCCGTTTGCGGAGTATGCAGCCCTCTTGAGGCCTGTAGGGAGGGGGTTGGTGTTCTGGGTTCGAGGTGATTTCAGCTTTGCTGCAGGAGGGCTCCTGAGCTGGATGATGTCTTCTCTGCTCAGCATTTAGTAGTATAATTAGTACACTAAATAGTAGGATCCTTATTATATGGACTCCAAAATAAGGTACCCTTACTTTTCGGAAACCCGCATATCTCGATCTGCACCTACGAGCTCATCGAGTTTAATTAAGATGCCGCCAGGATGCCAAGCAGAAACTTCATTGCAAGTGCCTTTGCAGACTTGGCAGACAAGCTGTACCCCTCATATCCCCCCCCCCCGCAGATCCTTAAACCCTCCAGAACCTGAAGCCCCACCCCAAGAAGAGTTGTTGTCCTCGGAACTCCCTAGGCCCCAAAAACCCTTCACCACCGGGAGCCTCCGACTCTCCGGTCAAGCTCGAAATGCACAGCAATATCCAACCGAGCGGGCTATTGTTTAAAGTTTGAAGTTTACTTATCAGGGGTTACATGAGTAAGGAATCGCCCCTAGCTATGATTTGCCCCGTTGTTTTGCCGGGTTTAAGTAGTTTGGCTTTTTCCCTTGCTCCAACCCCTAGGCCTTCCACCCCAAACCTTAATTCTAAAAACTTAAACCCTAATCCCTAGACCCTAAGCCCTGAACCCTAATCCCTAAACCCTATATAAACCCTAAACCCTAGCAAAACCCTATGACCGAAACCTTAAGCCGGCTCGTCTCCCGGTTGTGCGCGGCGATGCCTTCAACCCCAACCTTGAAGCCCTAAACCCCGAGCCTAAAGTCCTAAGCCTTAAACCCTAAACCCTAAACCCCTAAACCCTAAAACCTCAACCCTAAACCCCTAAACCCAACAACCCCTAAACCCTCAACCCCTAACCTCTAAACGCCCGAACCCTAATTCTTAAGTCCTCAGCGCCCGAAGCTCTTCAAAGGAAGGCGATCCCTGGGCTCTTGCCTAGCGAAGGCGAGGAGGCCACCGCTGAAGGGGTTTTAATCGGAGGTATAGGGTTTTAGGGTTTTAGGGTTTCGGGTTTAGGGTTCAGGGTTTGGGGTATGGGGTTTAGGGTTTAGGGTTCAGGGTTCAGGGTTCAGGGTTTGGGGTTTAGGGTTTAGGGTTTTCGGGTTTCGGGTTTAGGGTTTGGGGTTTGGGGTTTTAGGGTTTTAGGGTTTTAGGGTTTCGGGTTTAGGGTTTGGGGTTTGGGGTTTGGGGTTTTAGGGTTTTAGGGTTTTAGGGTTTCGGGTTTAGGGTTTGGGGTTTGGGGTTTAGGGTTTTAGGGTTTGGGGTTTGGGGTTCAGGGTTTAGGGTTTAGGGTTCAGGGTTTAAAGTTTAGGGTTTAGGGTTCAGGGTTTAGGGTTTGGGGTTCAGGGTTTAGGGTTTAGGGTTCAGGGTTTAGGGTTTAGGGTTCAGGGTTTAGGGTTTGGGGTTCAGGGTTTAGGGTTTAGGGTTCAGGGTTTAGGGTTTAGGGTTTTAGGGTTTGGGGTTTGGGGTTTGGGGTTTGGGGTTTGGGGTTTAGGGTTTAGGGTTCAGGGTTCAGGGTTCAGGGTTTGGGGTTTGGGTTTTAGGGTTTAGGGTTTAGGGTTCAGGGTTTAGGGTTTGGGGTTTGGGGTTTGGGGTTTAGGGTTTTAGGGTTTTAGGGTTTTAGGGTTCAGGGTTCAGGGTTTTAGGGTTTGGGCTTTAGGGTTTAGGGGAGGTAGCGCTTCTTTTCAGGGATCGGCAAGGGTTTTAGCATGGAGGCCCGAATGAATGATCAGCTGTGTTATTGCTTGGGGCTCCTTGTTGTGTCTATACTACAACAATAACCCCCGGGAAGCCCTATTCTGCGTCTGGAGCCGTGTGTATTAGGATCGTTTCGGGCTTTACAAGGCTACTACAACGGTCATTGTAAGGCACTATGAGAGGCTCTGAAGGTTTCAGTCTTCAGAGCTCGAGAGATTTGGATGTTCTTCGACCTCCTTTTTTCGATGGTGCAGGACGAGGATCTTGGTTATATCCAGTCATAGGGTTTAGGGTTTAGGGTTTAGGGGTTTAGGGTTTAGGGTTCATAGATACGCCATCAAAGCCACCTGCAACCCCTGCGGCTCCAAGCCTGTGCCTCTCTCCTTGCATGCTGCAGGCCTTGTTCGACGCGGTCGTCACCGAGTTTGGGCAGGCCCTTGCTGCGAGAGCGTTCATTCTTGCTATATCAGATGAGGGCGAGCTCCCTAAACCCTGAAACCCTAAGCCCCAAACCCTAAACCGGAAGCCCTAAACCCTAAAACCCTAACCCCCAGTTTCGTTCCGGCATCCGAAGCTCGAGATGGCACCCTCCAGGCACTCTCGGCGAAAACCGGCTTCTTGGCTTCGCGTTCGGGGCCCAAGGAGAGAGTTGTGGTCCTTTCACTGGCGTGTTGGGGTTTGGGGTTTAGGGCTTCAGTGCTCCTCAGCTGGAATATGACCCCAGTGAGCTCAATAGAGAGTTGTATTGCATGATCAAGTTTCGGGCATCAATTCCGCAGCATAAGGCAGCATTTAGGGCTTGGGGAATCGATCCACACCCAAGTCCTGAGCACGAAACTCTAAGCCCAACAACCCTACAACCGTCCGTACCACTTAAAATCCCAAGCCAAAGGCCTAGAGGTCGATAAACCCACCCTAAGCCCTAAACCCTTAAGCATAAACCCTAAGCATTTGCAATCCCAACACTCTTCATCGACTGAGGCCTGGAATACGTGAAGGAAGTTCGAAGCCAGGGGGGCAAGGCGCAGATCGCCGTGGGGTGCGGTGCTGAGAAGCGGCTTCTTTGCTTTTCCGGCTTTCTTTGGATTACGAAGGGTTTTACAATGGTTTTCTGAGGTGTGCAGCAGGGTTGCTGGTATTCTGAGGTTCACCACAGAGTTGCTAAGTCGATATGAGGTCTCCTAACTTGTGTTTAGAGTCGTTAAGGGTGTAGAATTGTGCTGAGGACCTTTGATGGGACGTTCGGGTTAAGGGTGTGATTGTTGTTTGTCTGAACATTATGCTTTGGGTTTATAGTCTTGCTTTTGTAATTTTGTTGTTTGTCTTGTGCGGTTCAAGTGAGAGCGAGGCTTGTTCTGTTCCGGAGCTTTGGGAGTAGTGACCCAAGCCTTTAACCCGAAGCCACTGAGTATACCATATATTGTTGGCATATCAATGTAAGTCGTATATAGTGAATGATATTAACATATGTTATGTAGTACACGTTACGGAATGTTATCGTGCATTCGATGTCATCCCAGGCACTTCGGCGCCGATCTCTGTGTGCGGCAGTGCTACACGAAGGAGCCTCCTGCAATGGTGCAAAGCTCGCGTTGGCGTCTGGGGGTGTAGGGTTTTAGGGAGTTGAGGGGTTTGCGGCTTGAGGGTTTGATGATGCTTGGGGCTGAGGGCTTAAGGTTAAGGGCCCAGGGTTCAGTCTGCAGTGACTGTCACAATTTTGGAACATCGCCATCCCCCAACCCTGCGCTAGCAGAGAAGGGACGCCAGCATGCATCATACTAATGTGGATGTTGTATGGATGTTTCCACTTCTTGGCTTCTACTCTCAGCATTCAATGATCGGGTCTGACTATTTACACACAGTCTCCCGCCATAGTCCCTCTATAGTCGCAGCCTTCATTTCAGAATAACATCACTCAGAACCTTTTTGCAATTCAGGTCCCTATGTTAAGAGGCCAAGGGCCTTAGGCTTTGCGTTCTCCGTCAAAGGCTTGGAGAAACCGTTCGGATCAGGGTTGAGGGTTTAGTTTAGGGTTATTGTTGTTCTTGTTCGTGCGGGTTCTTCCTGCGCAGTTGTGTTTCAATTGATACTAGTATCACTGTCGTTCTTGTTGTCGCTCTGTGTAGTTCTGAGTGCTACCGTTTGTATTGTTGTCATGATTTATTCCCCAAGCCCTAAGCCTTGTGAACGCTAGAAGAAGTTGTAGGATCACAAGCGTCGCATCGAGTTCTACGACGCGGAGTCCTGCCGCGGCCTCGCCTCGAGGATTTATGGGCATAACCCAGTGTTATCCTGGGCCGTAGCATTCTTCCGCATGATTAACACCGACCCCTCGTATCAAAACTGATCAGACTAATCCGCATCCCCATATACTTACCACAAAAACGCCACAACATATTCAAGACCCCTGTGTGAAGTGCGGTTCGGGGGAGTGTAGGTTACTATCGGGCTTACTTTCAAAAGATCAAAGGGTTTTATATTATTAAGTAATTGTAATACTAAAAACAAAGACCTGGATCCAAGCTTAAGGTCAGCCGGTGAAGCGCGCCCGCCGGGAGGCTGCCACGGCAGGAGACCCGGGCAGAGTCTCTGTCATTTACTACAGGGGCCTAAATTATTACCTATAGTATTTTGGGGGGTCCTTATTATCATTATAGTATACTGGGCCCCAAAACCGTATTCTAATTATTAACGCCCCTATATTATGTTTTTGGTTTAGCCGGTGTATCTTTCAGAGGTTTGTGTGTCAGGGTTCGCGGTTTGGGGGTTTAGAGTGTAAGGCTGTGTAAGGGCTTACAGTTTCGGGGCTTGGAGTCGTCAAGGTTTGAGATTCCTTTATTTCCTGTTCTTCAGGTAAAGGCGTGGAAGCTCAGGCTGATGTCAGAGCTTATGGTGCTGGATCCAGGGTCTCTGGTTGTGTAGTACGTATTGTCAGTCAATGTGAAATGATTGATTTCTAGAACATGCACGTGCAGTCGTGCAATTCCTACTTGTCTTGTTGCTCCAGATATACAAAAACCGACACACTTTCCGAGACTGTTCCTCGTGGGGTGGTCTTGTCTTCTGCTGCGGCGGCCGGCTAACACCTGAACGCTATCCTTCAGCCACGCAGACCTTAAGCCCTGAATCCTGCCGCCTAAGCCCTAAGCCCGAAACCCCCACACCTCATGAGCCGTGTTTGTAACTCGTCCCCTATTGTAGAGGCCTTAATTAATAATTAGAATAGGGTTTTGGGGCCCATTATACTATACTTATAATAAGGAACCCCCAAAACAGTATATACAGGTAGTTATGAAGGTCCCTATATCAAGCTTTCGGCCTGTTCCTCGCTCAGGTCACTACACACCTCGCAGGGCCCCTCTGCTTCCAGGGTGCCGCTCGGCACAAAGTGGCTTCATGTAGGGGCTCCCACACATAAGGTAGGGTTCATTCTCTAAAGGGCTTAGCATATGGGCCTTGAGCTAAGTGCTGCCGAACAACTGTATTCTTTACCATTTCTTTAATGTGCCCCGAGGCATCCTGATGCCTTTTGCTAACCACTAAGGCTCCGCATTCACCCCGGCGTCCCGGATCCCTCCAAGAAGCCCTCGCATTCAGAGGACTTCCCGGCGCGAGATTTGGAGGCCCGAGCAGCAGGTCTTATTATGTTGATAAACACTAGTAACTACTCGTTTTCTTGAACACACATAGATTTGTGTGTTGATTCGCAGGGCTCTGGGCTCAGATAACATGTCATGGCTAAGAAGGGTTGATGAAGTGTGAGTTTTCTAGCGACGCTATCTTTCGTGTTCAGCGAGGTTGTGTGTGAGCATTCCTGGAAAATCAGGGGCACCCAAGAGAGAAGGTCCCTGGGCCCTGAGGCAAAGCCAGACGCGTGAGACCGAAGTTTCTGGGTCAGCCGTTGGGCTCACATCCTTGGCAGGTGCAGAAACGGGTAATTCCAAGCAAGGAGAAGAAACTGAGAGGAGGAGGCCATTCGGCTGAAAACTTCCAGAGACGGAATAGGAATAGGGTAAGTTTGCGGGGCAAATAGAGTCACTGGGTATAATATCGTTTGTAGGGAGGGTGGTGAAACGAAAACTGCATCACAAAGAGGGCTTCTATTTGGCATGCCCTTGGAACACCAACCGCAAACCCTGACCCGGAACCCTGGCCATGCCGAAGTATCCGGCCCCCTGGGTTTACTCGGGAGGCACCCCCGCTCCACCCCGGCGACTTTGCAGTCATGCGCGAGGTGCAGGGACCGTCAGCAGTTCAACGCCTGAACGTCCAGAAGTGTATTGTTCAGTTCAGTTGGCATGCTCTCAGAAAGGTGACACGCACTAGAAGCCCTAAAGTTGGAACATGGGCTAATGATGATTAGCGTCGGATGTAGCTGTACGATAGTGATCTTCCAACTGTCTGTCTTCTGCTTTAAGCCCTTCCGGCACTGTGGAGTTCGTAGTTGGAGCCAACCCCAGCTTGGAGTCCAGGGCTGCTGACGATGAGTTCGACGGTGACGAAGCTGAAGAACAGGGTTGCTATCTTTTTTTTTAAGCTGCCCAGGGCAGCCAGAAGGAGATTCCGAATACTAGCTCGTATAAGCCAGACGAGCACTACGAAGTACTCCCAGTCACTGTGTGCTCCGTGCATTGCAACATTCTGGTACTGACCTCCGTAGTTTTCGCTGTGACGGGTTGCAACAGTAGGGAGAACCCCCACTTCACGATCATGACTCATGACCATAATCACAACCGCAAGATTGCCACTTGCATGTAATTCCGCAGGCCTTCACTGATCAAGCCATCTTGTAGACTTTAAGAAAGATCGAGATGGTGCCATCCCAGCAGAGTTTCGGTTACGAGCAGGAGGAGTCGACTCCGATGCCCGTGACTGGGTCAACTTTCGGGATCCTTTTCATTTTCTTTGGGGCCTGGGGGTTTCTAAGGTTTCAGGGGGTTCGAGTTGTTTTTCGATTTCGAAAATTGCTGAAGATTGGCCCAGGTGATGTGGTACATGGTGCCAGCCGACCAAGTGCAGCAGATGCCCTATCATCCCGTCCAGGGTCCCAGCGTGAGCTTCGCAGCCGGAGCCACGGCGACGATGGCCCAGACCTCCATGCCGCAGGGTTGGTGGCAGCCACCGATGCAGATGCCCCAGATGCTGCCGTTGCAGCCCGTGCAGGCAGCGCAGCAGGTGCAGCCAACGATGCAGTCCGCACAGATGGCATGCCCAGCCTCGGACATCCCGTTGGAGGGGCAGTGCGCTTCTTGGCTGGGTTTTGAGGCATGGGTGAGGAAGACTGGATACTCATGCAGATCTTTGCGGGCTGACAGAGCAAGTAATACATGCCCACAAGCGCTCGCGCTGTTCAATCTCGGCGTTCCCTTGCCTGTACAATGTGTACCGGTATACCAGTGCGCACCTGTGCACTCATGTCGATGTATGCATCTGTGGATGTATGCATGCATGCATGGGTCCCTCCCAACAAATCCGGTTCGCCTAAAGCCATGGCCTTAAAGCCTCAAAATTTGCACCGCTTGCAAATCCTTCGAGTGCTGATATAACTCCATAGCTCCCGGCTAAAACCCACAAAACCCTTCAATACCCTTTAAACTCGCTAGAGCCCAACTCTTAGTGTTTATGAATGTTCGAAAACGCTGCTGAACACCCATAAACACCTTTTCACCGCATCTCCCCCAACCCCTTGTAAACCCCTAAACCCTTAAACTCCTAAACCCCAAAACTCCTAAACCCTAACCCAAAGCCTAAACCCTAAACCCCTCAACCCCAAACCCCAAATCCGCTTCAAAAACTTACTTCGTGCCAAGGCATGGAGCTACGCACCTGCGCCTGAGCAGTGCTGCGCCCCGGCGAGGGCCTCCGCGGGCTCGGTGGCCGAGGTCTCCACGGCGCCCTCCGAGGCGTCGCCGCGCTTCCAGGAGGCAAGTTGTTGAGGGTTTTTAGGGGTGTTTGGGGTTTAGGGTTCTGAGGTTTTAGTTTTCATATTTTGGGTTCTTAGGGTTTCTAGGGTTCAGGGGTTTTATTGGTTCAGGGGTTTTAGGGTTTAGGGGTTTAGTGGTCTGGGGTTTCGGATCCCGGGTTCGTTGGGGGGTTTGGGGTCTCGTGGTTCAAAGGGGGGGCTTTGAAGTTTCGGTGGGGTTGTGGTAGGGGAGGGTTCGTGGGTGTTCAATAAGGGTCACTTTTTCAATTTGCTATAATGAATAAAGCAAAGGGCCATTGAACCGAATGATTTGATTCTGAGTCTATGAGGCTTGTAGGGTTTTATGGGTTTGCTTTTGGAGGTTTGGGCGGGTGCAAACCTGGTAACCGGAAGCGGTACCAGCCTGAAGATTCCACAAGCGGGTAGTTGTCAAAATTACGGTGCCTTTTGGGGTCCCTATGATACTACGGCACCTAATATTTAGGGTACCCAAAAAGGGGCCCTAATATTGACAACCATCCAAGTGAGAACCCGGAGATCCCCTGTGAAGCTTTGCTCTGATTGAGATCTGAGTGATGTCGGCTCTGAATCAAGCATCCCTACGCCCAGGCCCATGTCCGAAGCCCGAAGACCAAGAACACGCCCAAAATCCCACAGAAACCCAGACTTCGAGCCATGAATCCCATCAGTCCCAGAACCCGAATCCACAAAATATCCCCATACGTCCTCAAACCCCACAGGCGGACGAGCTGTCCGCGCCCATGTGCCTCGCCCGCACGGGTGTCGGAATTTAGGGGTTCAGGATTTTGGTTTGGGGTTTGGGGCTTCAGGTTTCAGGATTGGGATTTGGGTCTAACCTCAAACCTTAAAGCACAAGCCCTAGAAACAAATACTTCAGAACACCGTAGACTTCCTTGTTCAAGACCGTGCAAGATCTTATGAAAGATGCAGAAAACCCTAGCAAGTAATTCAGCCCTACATGGAGCCTCTTACCTTTAGGGTACTTGTATCTCTAGAAAAAACGCCTCTTCAGGCGAACCTCCGCGTCCGCCGCGCGGCGCCTCCGCCGCAAGCGCGCCGCGGAGCGGAAGGCCGACCGGGGGGCCTCGCTGTTCGTTTTGAGGGGCCCAGAGACTCCAATATCCGCTAATTAAGGAAGATTCCTTAAGTTATGGTAGGATCCCTGATATATGAATTAAGGAATATTCCTTAATAAAGGGAGATTGGAGTCTCTGGGGGTTTTGGGTGACCTTTTGGGTTAGGGCAGCGTTGAGAGGAGGGTGTGGGGTCTACGGTTTAGGAAGAAGGGGTTCCCCACCATCTCTGGCTTCAGACTTTGCACTAAGTACAAGCAGGCTTCCAGTGGAGCGTTGTTTTCATATTTACGGAGTGTGATCAGGACGGTTGCACGCCACTGTCGCAAGCGCTCTAAACCCCTCAAGCCTTCTGCGACCCTACGAAGTCCGATAAAATCTTTTGTTTGTGCTCTGCCGTGGAAGCCCTATATAAAAAACCTTCGAACACCCCGATACCTCAAAAGGGATCAATGAACCGTAAACTCTAAACTACTCTAAACCCCGCCAGCCTTTTCACGAACCCCAGAAGCATAATTGCAGAACCCCTATTATGGATTCCTGATACAGCCCTTTGAAAGAACCCTTAAACGCACCCTATTCCGATTCTAAAGGCCCCTACATGAAGCGTAGAGAACCGATTCCTGTCCAGGCCAAGGCTGACGAAGAGGACCTCGCTCGGAGGGACGCCGAAGGCCGCCTTCGTAGCCTGGGCGTTTTTAAAATCATAGCACTGCCCTAAACCCTAAAAACTCAAACCTAAACCCTCAATCTAAGCTCTAAAACCCGAGACCCTGAACCACAGTAGTGTCTTTTGCCCTGGACATCTTGAAGATGGCTAATACTTTGGTGTTATCGCTGACACGACCATTGTTGCTAGCATGCCGGTTATTACATTTTTCTCGTTTTAGTTTTTGTCCTTCGCGTGAGCACTCGTCCCTATTACTAGTGCTGGCGTGAATAGTGGCTGGCATGTTCAGACTGTTCAGATGCTGGGATGGCAGCAGGCATGCAGACTCATGAGAGAGATGACGAGGGTCTTTAGGAGTTTCAGTTTTGGGAGATAAGCCTTTCAAGCGATTCCCCTCACGTCTGCACCTTCCAAGGCAAAGCTCCATAGGACCGAAATCCCAAGCCAAAAGCCCACATGATTCGTGATTGTCTTTGGCAGGCCTACGCATAAGGGAGCTGCGCCCTGAGCTTCCTGTCACGATTCTTCGATTTCATGCTTTTTGGGGGACTTCGAAGAGCCCCAACAGCTCTTTCCCTAGTCCAAGTGTTAATGCCCCCTAGAGCAGGCTTCGGTGCTTTCGAGCAGACACTCAGAGATCATTTGAAGATTTGCGTTGCTTAGAGAGACCAGTTTTTTTGCATACGTAATTCCCGATACCCCTTGACATGATCGAGGGTCACTTGATGGCCTAGCACAATTTGAATGAAGGGTAGCATGCATCCCAAAACTCATACAACGAAACACAAGCAGACCCAAAGCCCCCAAGTCCAAAGACCCCGAAGGCAAAACCCCCGAACCTGCAAGTTTCCCCTAAACCCTAAGCCCTAAACCACCTAAACCCTAAACCCTAAAGCCTTAAACCCTAAAGCCCCTAAAGCCCTAAACCCCTAAACCCCTACTACACCCTAAACCCTAGAGCCCTAAACCCTAAAGCCCCCCCAAACCCAAAACCCTAAAGCCCTAAACCCTAAAGCCCCCCCTTAAACAGCAAAGATCGCGAGCCAGCCCGGGCTCCTTGGAACCCGAGTTCCGAGGCTCGAGAGGGGGGAGGAGCTGGCGCAGCCCCCTTGACCTTATGGCAGGGTTTAGGGTTTAGGGTTTCGGGTTTCGGGTTTAGGGTTTGCTGCAAGATTGCGTAGCGGTAGTGTAACAGGGATTGTAGGATTTATTCGCTTGTTGCCTGCGAATCGCAGCCATGGCCCGACTGTGGCGGGCCATCACATAACTCACCCACCCCACGCCGTCTGAGGCGGCAAACCACCCAAACCTATACCTTTTAGGGTTTAGGACCTAAACTCTGTTAGGTCCATTTTGGTTAACAACAACCACACAATTCTGCAGCTAAGCTTCTGCTCCGAAAACGCAGGGCAGAGTAAAGCAGAGTACGGCAGGAGGTAAGGGCCAGGGGGAGGCCAGGGGGTCGGGGGGTCCAGGAAGGCGCGGCGCGGAGGAGGCGCCAGGGGTGAGGGCCAGGAGGGGGGGCCAGGGGGGGCCAGGGGGGTCAG